AATGGAAAGCCATCATAAAAAAAATAATTCTCAACAATGATGCCATGAGAATGCTTGTTTAGCTCATTTTAAGATATAGTTTTTGTCTTGATTTTTTCTATTTCTTGCTTCAATTTCACATTGCCATCCCTGAGAAGATCAACAGTGAATACTGACAGAGTTTTTGAAAAGGCCTCAATATCAGCTTTTTCAATGTTCTTTTTGGGGTGGTATGGTGGTGTGGTGGTTAGCACCATTGCTTCACAGCAAGAGGGTTTTGGGTTCGACTCCCCGGGGAAACTAGGACCTTGTGGTGACCATGTTCTCCCTGTTCGGTGGTGTAGTGGTTAGCATAGCTGCCTTCCAAGCAGTTGACCTGAGTTTGATTCCCGGCCAATACAGCTCCTCTCTAGCCTGTAAGTTGCTTTGGATAAAAGCGTCTGCCAAATGCATGAATATGAATATATATATATGTGTCCCTGTCTTCCTCCCACTGTCAGAAAACCTGCATGTTAGGTTGATTGGACATTCCAAATTGCCTTTAGATGTGAGTGTGTGGTCGTTTGTCCCTGTGTGGCTATAAGCAGTTTCATGAATGGATGGGTATGCTTTTCTTCCTGTTCCACTTATACCAATTCCAATTCACATTTCCTCCACATCTGTTAAGCATCAATGTGAAAATTGTTAAAGCTTGGGCCTTGCAGTTTCCCATTAGCAATAGCAATTTTTATTTAAATAAGTGCCAGGTTAGGTGTTAAATCTCCATGTCTACCCTCTCTGACTAATAGCGTTGGAAACAAGTCAGCCGCAACTGGCTCACACATTCAGCACATAACAATACTGAGAGATTGCCATGAAATATAGATACCTCATTTGTTGGTGCATATGCTGCCATACACATACTTACTTTAATTTTAAAAACTGTATTTTTGAATTTGTTTGAAGAACTGTGTGTTTGCGGAAATGTAAAGCTCACATCCTGTTTTCAAGATAAAAGCAGATAAGAAATATGATGAGATATGATAATGATAAGAAATGTTTAGTTGATCTTGACCAAGTCTAAATCTCATGATCAAGATGACACTTGAAACCTGTGCATGTTTCAATTCTAATTAGAATAAAGATTAAGAAAATATCTTGTGACAAAAATGTGTGAATGAAGTGTTAGCTGTATGCCATCAATGGTAAGAAAATCTCAGCCACCTCTATTAATTTCTTCATTTTGTAAAGTATCTGCACAAACAGAACCTTCTAAATTGCCACTAGGTGTGAATCTGAGTGTGTGTGATTGTCTAAGCTTTCCCTGTGATGGACCGGATTTAAAGTAAAATGTGTTTACTTCAGGAGTTGTGTCACAAAAGTCTGTCATATTAAACACCTTTAAATGACCATTTCCAGCATTTTGGGTTTTCTTTATTCATCTCTCAAACTTGTTTCTTTAAGATTTTTTTTATTTTGATGATTTCCACCCTGGTTTCTTGCTCCATCAGCTTTTCATGAGGATGTATGGTGGTAATTTGATTGGAATTGTTTGGATTAGCAGTAAATTATTTTGTTGTCTCGTTTAATTATGTTTTGTTCTAAATCTGCCTGTTTCCTGCTTGCTCTCTGTGCTCAGATCTTCCCTCAACAACAGCGAGTTGACAAAATGACCCACAGATTTGTTGCAAGAACTCCCCCAGCTCAAAGTCAGAAACAAGACTGTTAAAACAGGAAACGTGTATGTTTGAATCCTGCTGGAAAATGAACTGAGACCAAAACAATGCATGGACATGGAAAATTGTAAAATAGTAAACAGCTTTCTTATTTTCCATAGTCCAAAAACCACACTTTAATCCTATGGATCATATTTGATACGAATGGTTTCTGAAATGTTTGCATCTTAGACCTTTTGCATAATTTAATGGTAAAATCTCTATTCAGAACCCTGTTGTCACAATCGGATATACCTGATAACAGCAGGCAGAAGACTACACAAAAGAAATTTGGACTCGCACAGCAATAAATCATGAATATCCCAAAAAATATTCCTGTTTTTTTTTTGTTAAAGGGCGAAATAAAGACTAAAAAATCCCTCAATTTTTTTCTTGGATTAGGCTTTAAAGGGTTAATGCAGAAAGACACAAGGACACCCTACGCTGCTGTTCAACGATCTGGGGGATTGTTGAACTGGGGGAGGATGCCAGTGAAACCAGGCAGGCCCAAATGCATTGTGAGGGTCTGCTTGGAGCGCCTGGCAAAGTCCCCTGTTAGGCAGAACCTCAACTCCCACGTCCGGGAGAGCTTCAAGCACGTTCCAGGGGAGTCGAGGACATTGATTCTGAGTGGGCAATGTTTCGCGCCTTCATTGTCGACGTGGCTTCCCGGAGCTGTGGTCACAGGGTTGTCGGTGCCTGTCATGGTGGCAACCCTCAAACCCAATGGTGGACATCAGCGTTGAGAGATGCATTCTGGCTGAAGAAGGAGTCCTATCGGGCCTTTTTGGCATGTGGGACTCCAGAGGCAGCTGATGGGTATCGGCAGAGGCATGCGGCTCCGGTGGTTGCCCGACGCCATACGACGTCTCAGGGGTGGGAAACAGTGCTCCACCAGCACTGTTTACAGTGGGGATGGTGCGCTGTTGACCTCAACTCATGATGTTGTGGGTCGGTGGGTGGAGTACTTCGAAGACCTCCTCAGTTCCACTGGCACGTCTTTCATTGGACTGGCAGAGTGATGAGTTCAAGTGCCTTGGGGTCTTGCTCGTGAATGGGGCTAGGGAGCAAGAGAAGGCAGATCAGTGCGGCATCGGCAGTAATACAGGCGCTGTACCAGTCTGTCGTGATGAAGAGAGAGCTGAGCTTAAAGGCAAAGCTCTCAATTTATCAGTCGGTCTACGTTCCCACCCTCATCTATGGTCAGGAACTTTGGGTCGTGACCAAAAGAATGAGATCACGGATACAAGCGGCCGAAATGAGTTTCCTCCGCAGGGTGGCTTGGCTCTCCCTTAGAGATCGGATGAGATGTCTGGCCATCCGGGAGGGGCTCGGAGTCGAGCCACTGCTGCTCCATGTCAAGAGGAGCCACTTGAGGTGGCCCTGGAAAATGGCTTGGGCATATGGACAAGATGCCCCCTGGACACCTCCCTGGTGAGGTGTTCCGGGCACGTCCCACCGGGAGAAGGCCCATAGGAAGTCCCAGGATGCGCTAGAGGGACTATGTGCCTCGTCTGGTCTGGGAAGACCTTGGGATCCCCTTGGAGGAGCTGGTAGAAGTGGGGGGGGGGGGGGGGGGGGTGAGGGAAGTTTGGGTTTTCCTGCTTTCCCTGCTGCCCCTGCAACCCGACTCCGGATAAGCAATAGAAAATGAATGGATGGATTCGCAGATGAATCCCAAAGCAAGGCTTTATCAGCTGTAGCAGCAGAGAGACTTAATGGGTGATGAAGATTAGTTGCAGATATGAGATAAGGCACACAAAAACATACATGCACAGACCACACACCTTGACCATAGGAGATAACACACTTTCAGACATGTACACACACAAACATGCACAAACATATTACAAAGAAGGACTGGCTGCGATCATTGCTGCCCTCTGCACCCTCCTCTTGACATTTGAGCCCTATTTCTTCATTCGCCCATCTTGCTTTTCATCTTTCTTGTTCATCTCTTTGAATTTCTCTAATGTTTAATTTTATTTACTTAAAGTAGCTACCAATGTTGCAATGTGATACTGAGCAAGCAGTCCTTCCTCTCACGAAACACAAATATATTTAATGATGCTATCCAATGTGCAGATTTTGTTAGATTTTACCCTTAATTTATTACTTATGATCCCATTCTAACAATCACATTTTACTGTAAATTCTCAAAAAACAAAGCACATCTGGAAATGTGCAGTAACATATGAGACATTGTTAAAAGAGTCGGTGTCCTCAAGAAATTTGTGGCCCCATGACAGATTAGTCTCACTGAACTGCGTGCACAGATATTAATCAGTTTTTAAAAAAAGACAACCCAAATTAATTCCTTATTGCCAGGGAGGACTCTATCCACACGATGACTTGAAAGGTCCAATATCCATTTAATAGATATTGGAAAACAGATGGATTAATTATTTTTGTTCTTATCTCATAAATTGATTATGGACTTAATATGAAATATTCACCTTTAATCTGAAAAAACATCCTCTTTAATACTGACATAGAAACAATATCATTAAAAGTCAATGAATGAATGTTTCCAGATTTTCTTTTTCTTGAGCCTGCAGTAAATACTAAAAGTTAAACTACTAAAGCCTTCCTTCAGGCTACAGGTGATGAAAACCAAATAAATGAATTTGACAAGCTTTTTTCTGTCCAGAATTTTTTTCTAACTATACTTTTTAACTGCGTAGCTTCCTCCCTCTCCAGATTAGAAGTTAGTACAAATACAAAACATAGTTCAACACATGTAGAAGTATTCCTTTACCTATTTGACCTCTTTAAGGGAAGATATAAAAGCTGACCAGACTGAAGTGAAACATGATACATTTTTCTATGCTGATGTCATAAATATTAGAAATCGGCACAGAAATCAAACAGTCAAATCCAATTTTCAAAGCCATTCTGTGTCACCTCAGCATATGATTCTGGATTTTACATTTATTGTATAACTGGCCAAATGAGACACAAGTTTGTTTGTTTTTTAATTCCCTTGGAGATATAACAGACAGTGTTAGTTATTTATTAGCATTTCCATGACATCTCAATGGGTCACTCATGTGATATGTATTTTATCTGCAGGAAGAAGAAAACAACGGATGTCTGGGCTAGGAACCATTATAGGCTGGGAGAATATATGCTGAAAATCACAATTCTTTGCCATATCCTTCACCAACAAGAATACCCAACAGCAGTCATCCTGTTTTCAATAGTTTCATATTTTTAAGAGCTGACACTGACCGATCAAAATGAAAACCAGCTCAGCATTAGCACAGTTTTCACTTCATGTCTGATTATTCTCAAGCCAACCTGAAACAGACAAGGACACAGTGCTGCTTTTATTTTAAATTATACTTTATTCCATATAAAAACAAAACAATAAACAAATAAATTAGGTATTTCTAAAATAATTCTCTTGAGGAAATGTTTAAGAACGTTTAGATGTTTTACAGTTGGTATGTGGGAGAAGAGCCGACAACTGGAATGTAAGAATGAAAATACATTTTGATATAAACTGCAAACAAAATGCAGAGAGCAAATACATTAAATGTGTTTTGACTAAATAGTTGAAACTTTAACGGCAGGGTGACATCTTGATGAATTTGAAATTAAACCTTCCATTTTTTTAAGGTTTTAAACCATCACTACTATGAGGATGACCATACAGAACCGCCATCTGTGTGGTCAGAGAACAGGGGGAAGATGCTGATCAAACCATTTTATCCATTTTTTGAAGATTCCTGCCTGCACAACCGACAACGGTTGTTCTGCTTATGTCTCAATTGTTTTGTCTAGTTGAATTCAGCAGGCAGACTGGTTGGCACATTAGCCCACAGAGGAATTGTCTACAGCTGTTCCTGACAGTGTTTGCAGAGTGGCCAATCTGAATTAAGATTTGTAATTTAAAAGATGGTGGCTATGGGGACAAAGATAGGTACATTTGGGAAGGAAGAGGAGACATTACCATAATAAGGGCTCCTTCATTTGCACACAAGCCCAAGCTAACCCCACACCATCACCCCATAATTCCCTCTGGTCTGTAGTCACACCCATTAAGCCTGCAAAGCCTTCATTGTCCAGCTAGGCTGCAGACCTGAGGACCCCTCGCCAACAGATTGAGCTGGGTGAAGGGTTACAGCTAAACAATGAAAAGTCCCTCCTCCTCCTCTTCTATTTGAAATCAATCACACAGGCTTTCACATTCAGAATCCCCCTCCCTCTCTGTTAGTGGTGACAGTGGGCTTGGGCCAGCTCCCCACAGAGTCCTCATGCAAAACTGTCTGTCCTCTTTTCAGGAGTTCCACCCTGGACAGCCTGTCTCTGACTGAGTGTTCATATGGACTAAAATACTACAATGTTTTTAAGAAGAAGAGCATGTGACACTGTTTTGATCTTTATGTGTTTGTTAAAATGTGCAAACGGGTCTCTCTCATAGCTTTTGCTGCTTTGAGGCTTTTGGAGATCTGTCTTTATCCAACAAAAGAAACAATAGCTGAGTGCCTTCAAACTGTTATTTTTGACTGGAGCTGGAAAAGGACTGCTGCCATGTGACAAATGGAAGGTTTCATTCCAAGATTTCCCCGAGTTTAAGCCATGTTTAAAGGCTTAGTTCATAAGTTCTTGTGACCATAAGCACTTGTGACTTAAATTGCAAATGGAAACATTTCTTGGTCTATCAACGACTTCAAATATGGGGGTTATTTTTTCAAAATGTTTATGTAAGACAGTTTTTTTTAACATCATCTGCTGTTAGTTCGGGAATTGGGAGTGACTCCAATCTTGTGGGATACTATTGCAGGCCATTAGATAAAAATGAATGTTTTGGAAAGAAACCTGAACTTGAAAACAATGCAACCACTGCAGCTGGTTTGGAAATTTAAGATAAAATGTATCCCTCCTTCTGCACTCAATACCTTCATTTTTGTGTCATTCAGAATAATTTATAAAAGGCAATCATCTTTCTGCTGTATATGTACATACAATATCTTAATAATCTAATATATTCACAGAAAATCATCAGGTCAGGCACTTTTGCTGCCACTACAGCAACGTCTTAGCATGAGAAATCCTGAGATTTAAGACTGTTTTCTTTAAATAAGCAACACAAGTAAATTAATCTTATATAGAGTGATTTATGCTCAAAAATCAATTTCTTAGTTTTTTACCATAGCAAAATTAATTTCTTTTAAGTCCTGGTTTTGGGTAGATTTTATGTAGGAGATCCTTGTCCATCACCACTTTAAGGTGTTTCGATTACCAGGCTCTCTTCTGTTGTGTTTAGTGCCGAAGTTTTCCAACGTTACAACCGCTGATGGGCACAATGCCAGAACTCATAGTTTAAAGTTCTACTTGTCATTTTCTTCTGTTCATTCTTCTGCCCGTGCTGTAACGTTTTTATCCAAACCTCCACATTATGAAGCCTGTTTATCTCAGTGCTCCAGGTGCATACATCTCATGTCCATGTTTGAATGTGTGTTTATATTTCTATGTTCATGTACAAATGCCTTCTTATTTCTTAGGGCGCCGCTGGTGCCACGATAGAGGTCCAATAAGAATAGAACCTTTAACTTAACTTTAAAAATGCAGCTGTGGACCTTCCAATTGAGACCCATGCTGAGGTGTCAGTTTACTTAAAAGCCCAAAGCAGTGTTTTGCCACGCTGTTGTTGTTTCTGTATGAATCGATTTCGGTGCCCATCAGAGAGCTGCCTTCATGTCTATCCGAGAGAGGACATCCTGGTAGCCCAGGAGGCAGGGGTCAGTGGACAAGGCATCGTGGGTAAAAACTGAGTCGTCGTCAGAGGAGCAGGAGCTGGATGTGTCCTCACACGAAGGAGAGTACTGTTCAAAAGGTGTCGACAGGTCCAAGTACTGCAGTGAAGAGGAAATTAGAAAATAGTGAGTGAGATTATATAACGGGAAATTCAACCCATGCTGAAATGTGTGTAAGACTTATGTATACAGGAATAAAATCAGATTTTGGTAATTTTAACATAATTATTGTCCATAACAGAGGTTTTGGTTTGTTTTGATTTTAAAGCTTTTATGTTAGTAAGAAATGCTATAAACATATGTATTTGTGCAGATTAAATGAGATTTGTGCTAATGAACTACCAGCCCTCTACCTTCTAACCTCTCATTCACTAAAGCAGTCTGTATACATCTGGGAAGCAGATGCATGGGCATGTGTGTGTACAGCTCTATAGCTTCAAGTCCTGTTTCTGTGTGTACGATAGTGTGATATCGAGGCCTACTTCATCAGAGATGGACAGCAGAGCTTTGTCCAGCTCTTCCACAAGCTGTTTGAAAGTTGGTCTCTGGGTGGGAATAGCATGCCAGCATTCTCGCATCATCATGTAGCTACAGAAAGAACAACACAGTATAAATTATTTAATCAATAGTTTTCGCACAATACAATAAATACAACTAGAGTTAAAAAAAGAGTGGCAATCCTCTAAAGAACAGTCAGTTTTTACCTAAAATTAAATCCACCCAAAACCAACAGAAGAAAACAATGTTCTTGAATCTATGTCAAATGTCAAGAGCTCCTACTTACAGTTCATGTGTGCAGTTGGATGGTTTGTCCATGCGGTGTCCTTCTTTTAGAAGTTTGAAGAGTTCCTCAACTGGGATCCCAGGATATGGGGAACCGCCCAATGTGAAAATCTCCCACATGAGGACACCAAATGACCACCTAACCATAGGCCGAAGGAAAAAAGCTGAGTGTTAGTGATCACAACTTTTTTTCTTTTGCCAAGATGAAGAGTTTGCCTAAAAGGAACTTCAAATACGACGGCACAAAAGACCTTTTAAAATTGTGGCAGGACACCAATCAGATTGAGAATTTGGAACTTACACGTCACTCTGGTGTGTGTAGACTCTGTCAAACAAAGCCTCTGGTGCCATCCACTTAACAGGAAGACGTCCCTGCAGAATAAACAGAGACATGCTAGAACCAAGCTGTGACTGTGGCACACAGTTTTGAACTTTTTTTTTTGCCATCTCATTTTCTGTTATGATCATCCCCATCTCTCTCATTCATCCCCTTTTTTCTAATTCCATTAAACCTGCTGTCAATCAGAGGAAAAGACATATGTCTTTAGGAGTATTTAAGCTTTAACAAAATGATGTGTCTTAATTATATTAATATAATGTACCATATCTGAGAAGATAGAAACCAAATATTTTCAAAAGCCAAAATTTAACTTATTAATTACATTTCTAGGAAATTAGAGTCTTTTACCATAAACTAGAGGAGATGCATGTTTTAATTGCAACAGTGTGACGTGAGCCACAGAAATGCAGTGCAGTGAAAAACCTGGTTGTCAACTAAAACATCTCTGCTGCGAATTCCTGAAAATATGCTGCTCACTTACATTGGTGGTTTTCTTGTAGTAGTCAATCTGGTGGACTCCCCTGGCTAAGCCAAAGTCAGCAATCTTCATCACATTGTCTTCGGTCACCAAAACATTCCTGGCTGCCAAATCCCGATGGATGCACTACAGAGGGTCCAGAGACACACAAAGCAAACACCAGTCATACACAAGCTTCTCAGAATAAAAGATTAGCAGAAAATGTAAATACTCCATTGTTTGTTATTCAAAATGCACAGTGCTAAAGTTTTTTTTCCACATCTAATTTGTCTACATCTTGCCAAAAAAATATAGAAGAATATGGAATATAAAAGAAGCAATTTCTTTAGTTAGGTGCAAACATATGGAGGCAACATAGTCTATGATAAAAAAACAAGCTTCATGTCCACTTTTCAACATATTTCTTGTCATTTGTTTCAGTATTCTTCAGCAAATAGTTCTCTTGGCCACTTGAAGGACACCCAAAAGATCTTATATGGGTGTTAGCTATCTTTTGTTCTGTTCTCTATTAAGATTATCCAACACTGCTCTAATAATGTTGAGATTTCGGCTCTGGAGAGGATTTATGACCTGTTGCTACTGATTTTAAGTCAACTACTTGGGTCAATTGGCATACCTCAGCTTTTTCTCTTTGTTCCTAAGTGTTAAAAATGGCTTCTTAACAGAAAGCCTTCCATTGACATAATTTCAGGTGAGGCTTCAATGAAAACTAGATAAAATCAAATGAAGGACCACATGCATCTCTCAGGTGATCTGTATCAGGTCTTTGCTGGATTATCTTCCTTTTAAAAAATCCTATACTGTTTATCAGCTGTGAACAGTTTTTTTGGTACTTCTCACACGTCTATGTGTGGAAATCCTATCTTCATCTCTTCATCATACACCTATTGACAAATTTTATGAGGATGCCATTAGATATAGGTTGTATGTTATATGTGGACACAATGGTACGTTCTTTGAGCAAGTAGGCTTTTTAAATATTGGAGCAATTGAGTATTTCTTACAACGAGCAGACAATTGTCTGAAAATGAGTGAAATAGCAGGAAACATTGAAATAAAAATGTTAAGATACCTTTAGAAAGCCTGGAAAACACTTGCTTAAGACCATTTCAAAACATTAAAGAAATTCTAGATTAAAAAGAAAAAAGAAGCTAGTGGGGGGTAGAAAAGATACATTCTTAATTCTGAATGATCAAATGAAAAGATGATATATCTAAAAACAGTTACACATTTGAGTGAATTCCACAAAAATAAAAATGTCTTAATATAGAAATCCTTGAGTTTTAAGAAAAAATAATCCATTGGGAGGAAAAAAGAAAGCCATGTTTGCCCACACTGAATGTATGTCATTAAGTTTATTTTGGTTTTCATTCGAAATAGATGTGGGATTTGTGGGAGTTTGCAAAATGAACCATTCTTGGTTTGTGGGTCTCCCCATAATGGAGGGTTACTTTCAGACTCCAGCATTCTTAGGAGGCAGTAGAGCCAGAAACCTGATGCCAGATGATGGCTCTGCTGCCTGTTTGCTAACAGATTTATGGCAGTGCTAAAAAGGACAAAGGCCTTCAACTGAAGGGACGGACAGATGGATAGCAAAGAGTAAACAGGATTGAAGCTGGGGCAGCTCGCTGCTCAGGAATGCCTGTCTGAGACATCAGCTTTAGACAAAAAGACATGTTGATAGGACGCACAGACAGAATGCGTGTTGGGGAAATGAAAGAAATCAAAACTTGGGGGTGGGGATGGCAAATGAAGAGAGGAAAAGAAAGAAATAAAGAACAGCTGGTGCTGGCGTCAAAACTGTAGAACAGACAAGTAAATCAGAAGTACCCAAATTTAACATCAAGAAGCAACTCCGGGCCTCACATTTACCTCATATGTTCACAAAAGTTTTAACCTTCTACCTTTCATTTCATTAATGAATCTCGCCATGTTTAAACACAAGAGAATAAATCTTAAAGCAATGGCCAAACTAACCCTAGAGACTATAGACTTTTCAACTACTTGTTAATCATTTGTCTTATTTCCAAGCATTACTCAAGACAACTTTGATTCTTTCCAAAAATTATGGCGAAACAACAAAAATGAATCAAACACTTGTACTTGACAATTGTGTTGCCATAAATCAGCTTCCACATCATCACCTGGACACTTCTGCTTTAGATTGATGATGCGCCTCATTGCATCCATGAACTGTTTGCGGTGAGATTTACAACCACTGAGATATTCGGATGTTGTTACTGCTCTTTCAAGTGAACCCACCCTTTTAGAGGCCAGGTACTCCATTCCTCGGGCCACCTGGTAGGCACAGGATAGCAGGTCTTTGAAGGTGAGCTGCTCCTCGGGCACTTTGGTCACATCAAAGGTATAATCCATACCTGGAGGTCGCCTGGCTCGCAAGTACTCCCTTAAACTGCCTTTGGAGGCATACTCCACCAGCACATACAGAGGACCTGTTGGGGGGAGCGGGATACAAACGGGATGAATGACAGAGGCTGTTTTTATTGTTACTTTAGCCTTGAGGACTGCGGCCATTAGGTTTGGAGATAAACAAATGCAAAACAGATTGTGAAGAAGGCACGGGAACTGTGTGTGTCCTAATTAGTGTTATCCTGAAACTCACCATCTTGTGTGCAGACTCCCAGGAGGTTGATGATGTTCTTGTGTTTATCCATTACCTTCATAAGCTCCATTTCTGAAATCAGGTCTGCTAAATCTTTGTCTGTGGCATCATCTAAGGCAAAAATTGAGTGTTGCATTTGTTATAATAAACAATCTTTTTAAAATAACAGCTAAACTAATCTTATTAGGTATTTTCCGCCACGTGTTTCATACCTTTGAGCATCTTAACTGCCACAGTGGAGGCTTGGTCAGGACAATCTTTGTTAATGCCATAGGCTTCTGCTCTGACCACTTGACCAAAGCAGCCTTCTCCCAGAGGTTTTCCTAATGTTAAACTGGAGAGAGAAGCAGCAAGAGAAAATAAGTTTGCCCAATGAAAACTGTACAAATCCATAATTTCCTTTCAACTATCCATTGAAGTGACCTAAATATAGGCAGTACCATATGACTTGCCAAAAAGATTGAAGAGAGGTTTATACATTGGAAGTGACTTACTTCTCTCTTGGGAACTCCCAATCAGGGTCGTAGGGCAACTCAAACTCCATGACTCCAGCCAACATTGGTGAACAGCTGGATGACAGCCGAGCTACTCTCATCAAGGACGCGCTGGATTTCCCTGACGAGTTAGACTCCACTGAGTACTAACAGAAAATTGTAACAGAAGAGAGAGTATATTTAGCAGCCATCATGAGTGCAGATGCAAACAGATGTGGCTCTATAAAGCTTCTTATAAGCTGCCATGTGTACTGCAACTGCAATGTAAATTTCAGTCGAGAGCAGCCGTACCTGTCTTCGAAGAGGGAATTTGGAAAGCTTCTGGACAGGAAGGGCATCAAACGGCTCCCTTCTGGGATGGACTTGCATCCGGCACAACACCACAATGATGATGGCCATGATCAAAGCCAGGAATCCACAGGCATAAATAATAATGTCAGTGTATTTGGTCTCCATGGTGTCTACTGGTTCTACTGCTTCTTCCTCTGGAATGACAGGTATATGGTTTTATTGATCCACAGATAGTGGCAAAGTGCTGAATAAACACGACACGATTCATGCTTTTAAAGAAAAGGTCTGCATTAAATCACAAAAAACGCAGTTCTGTTTTACCTGAAATGACAGTGAGCCAGGCAGACTGGTGGGCAAAGCCAATGGAATTTCCAGCCAGGCAGGTGTACTGTCCAGCATCCTCCATGGTAACTTTGGTCAGGTAAAGAACCTCCACATCTGACATGTTTAGGCTGCCAGTCTGCATAACACAAAATGTAAAAGATAAAAATTAATTAAACCAGAACTTATCTGGGATTGTTTTCTGACTGCAGTTTTTTACTGAATGAAGATTATGAACAGCTGTTCTCTCAAACTTCCTTAACACGAGCACTACCGAAAAACAAAGTACTTAAATCTATCATTCGTGTGAGACCAACCTTGAGGACCTGAACATAGGGAGACCCATCAGGACCATAGTGACTGCCGTTTCTGTCAATGTGTTTGAGCCACTGAATGTGTGGTTGGGCATCACTGTAGACCTTGCAGTGGAACTGAACATCACTGCCTACCACGGCTGTGGTGTTGGCAGGTAAACCTGCTTGCAGGATGGGCCTGTGAGGGGAGCGCTCTGTGTTGGTAAGAAATTAGAGAAAAGATAGTGAGAAATCTTATACTAAAAATGCATGAACCTTCAGAGACAAGATCTCCCTATCATAGTTCAAGCCTAGCAGAGTCTCTGACACATAAAAAGAATACAAAAAGACAAGAAAAATTGCCTTCAGTTACTTAAAGACCCAGATATTTAGCCATTTGGAAGCCGATATACATGAATGCTTTTTAGAAAAATATCCTAAAATAGCCAACAATTGTCCCAGTCACTTTTAATGTGTTACAGTGCTTGCAAAGGAGTCGGAAATGTCATTTTTGTATTAAACTTGGTTCCATCAGTTTGCCTCTCTGTCACTAGTCTTTGATGTGGGGCTGCTCTCTCTCTCTGATCTCGTTAGTTGTCTCGTTAGTGTTCTACCCCGTCAATGGGGACAGAAACTGACCCGCAGTGGACAGCGAGCAAACAAATGAACAAACAAACCGCGGCCCTCCTGGATTTCTTGTCACAAATCAGGTAGAAAACTGGAGTGGACGCCTGCCTGTTGCTGCCAGGCGCAGACAGGAGGCTTTTCTTTGAGGGCACCATGCCCTTTCAAGAAGTGCTGATTAATGCTCTCACAATTGTTGCCCTGAGTACAGTCAACCAGATTATAAAGCATTCTAATAGTGTCTGTCTGACCACGTCTTACGTTGCAGGTTTAAACAATAGTGTCTTTGCCCGTTGGCTATCTTTTTGTGATGCCAAAATCAGCAGATCTAAAGATATATCAATCTCTTACCCAAAACATCGAGAACATAGCTGTGAGTGATGGAGCCATATTTGTTCTCCACTACACAGGTATAGTTTCCTCTGTCTGAGGGCACGACGCTCTCCATCACCAGGCTCCAGTGCTGATGTCTTAGCTGGTCAAAAAGAATGAATAAATAACATAAAATAACACAAAGAGAGAAGAAAAGAAAAACTGAATCAAGCATTTGAATTGTAGAATCTTTATCTAGAATTAAGTATTGAACTACAACTGCACCCACCTTGATTCCTCCGATGCGGTGCTCTCCTCTAAATTCACGTCCATTTTTGAGCCAACGTATGCTCGGCATTGGGCTGCCTGTGGCAGGGCAGCGAAACTTCACTGTATTACCTGCAGGAACAGCATACAGCTTCTTTTCCATACGCTGGATGTGGGTCCAATAGGGGCCTATAGAGATCAGAAATCAATCCTTTGTCAAAAAAGTACATTCTGGGTTTTGAATTTGATCGATTTTGGTTTGGGGGCAAACAAACTACACACCCCTGGGGAAGTACACTTGGTCATTTTCAGTCTCAGCTGATGAGTCCTCCAGCCCATTGTCCTCATCATCATCTCCTGACCCCAACGTGTCTACGAACAAGACAAAAAAAAAGTGAAGACACAACCAAATAAGCTGTTTCTCTCCTCCAAAAAAGACAAAAATGCATTTAATTTACAGTAACCTGAGCAGTAGCACCCATTGCTATATTCTAATCTGCTGCAGTGAGTTATTAACCTTACCTGCCACAGTGATAGTAAAGTTCCTCACTGGATCTTTGCTTCCCCGAAGAACACAGACATAGATGCCTGAATCCTCATATATCACGTCAGTGATCTCCATGACTGCACCCCGCATCTGGATACGGGGTGTGGGCAGAAGCCGGAGTCCCTCCTTATACCAGTTAACTGCCATGCCAGGCCGTGTGGTCATGTCGCAGCGCAGCTTCAGGATATTACCTGGTTCCAACAGGAGATGCTCTGTGGTGTCATCGCTCAGGTCCCCCACAACTTCTGTTAAAACCAGACAGTGTTAGTTTCTTGTGTGTGCATCTTTTTTCAGGTCACTCAATGCTTTTTCCCAAAATGTCACGCAATCCTTCACTTTTTATGTCTTCATTTGTTGTATATACACCAACATTGAGCATTGGCAGGCCTCTCAAATAAGTCTTGTCATACCCTCAACTATGACCTTCGACTCCTCAACTCCATTATCTCCCATCTGCACGTAGACACAATGAAATGAAATTACCATGGAGACCAGAAGGCCTTAATGACCTGACCCTCCTCCACTAAACCTCTCCTTCACTCCCCATTCTCTTCATCTTCTTGTCCCCTGAAGATTACTGTGAGATTGAGAATGATATAGCTAACACTGCAACGCTTCACTCTTTCTAGCTCACTCCAGAAAAAAAGGGAAAGAGAACACATGAGGAAAAAGAGAGTGTAAGGCTAATGAACATGTTGCAACCTGACAGTGGACGGAGAGTAAATCTAAGGGGTGGTGAAGGGTCACTGGAGTTGTAAGTGAGAAAGATAAGGAGAGGGGACTTGTTCTCAGCCCACTCAGATGGCAACGCTAACAGCAACTTGAACTTCTCATTTCATTGCTTCAGACACATCAAGGGTTTAGGCTATAAGAAACAATCCAGACACTCTTGCTCAAATACAGTTTTGGATACACAAAATGATATATACATAAAGTTACCTGAAGGGATTTTCTCAGCAGAAAGAGCCACAGTTTTAGAGATGATATTACCTGTGGAAGGAGGAGCATTTAGTAAAAGTGATATTTTTGTGTAGCCCTACATTTTAGCGTACAATAAATATTCCTCACCAGACAAAACCTCCAGCCATGCTGACTGCATGGCATGAACCGTCTGTCCTGCATGGATGGTCTCAGCCATGCAGACGTATTCACCTGCATCTTCCAAGGTAATATTGGAAAGATGTAGAGCGTTCACCTTTGACCCATTATTCTGCAGAGGCTGCATGAAAGAGAAATTATATCACGTTGCGGAGCACTAAAATCTGATTGCATTGCGTCTTCTGTCCTCAGGCTCATCCTCACCGTCAGGGCCTTGATCAGAGGTGGCCCTCCTTGGCCCCACCCTTGGCTGCTGACATCTGTCTTCAGCCACTGCACCTTGGTAGATGCTGGCCTGTGAACTTTACATACAAGTTTGGCCTGCCCTCCCACCACCACTGTGGTATTTTCTGGGTAACCTGGCACAATTAGAGGCCTGGATACTCGGAGATCTAGAGCACAAAAAAGGAGGTTCATCAGAAAGATATTTCTTTTTAATCTTTAGAACATTTTTCAGGTGGCTTTAAATCCTTGTTTAATTTCAAGTCATACTGTAGAAATCCTAAAGAAAACTATTCACTTTGTAGTGCAAATTAACAACTAAAACCATTATGGTCTCAAATCACCTGACTGAACAGTACAAAAGTGATAAAAACACATCCTAGTGGTTTCAGTTTACCTCTGAAAGGTCCTGCAACAGAAGCACACCATGTTCCCAAACAACCAGTGACATTTAATGCTCCCAGGAACTGGTGATAGAGTGCCATGATAATCAGGCCACTATAGTGTCACTATCAGACACAGTGCTATACATTCAGTTGGCCACTTGTCTACTTATGTGCTCGCACACTCACTTATTAAAGCATATGTTTGAGGCTGTGGACCCCGTTCACTGTTAAATCACTCAGAACGAGCTATTTTCCCGGGCAATTTTCTGTCTGATTGCTTCCTGTGAGCGCTTAGTGAAAAAGCAATCTGTTCACTTGTTGAGTTGACCTTCCCATTTTTGTAATCACCCAGAGTACACGCAGGTAATGCTTTCAGGAACAAATACACTCTTACAACCTTGAAAGTGGACAATCAGACATGGTGATTGGTCAAATGATAAAAAAACAAATGAGAACTAAATGTTTTTGTTGGCTACTTCAAATGAAATTTCTCCAAGAAGATTTAGTCCAACATATCAAAAACATGAGATCCCTATTAACTGTCTATTTTATCTAAAGAGGTAAATCTGAACACATTAACAGCAATTTAAAATGCATATCAGAGATAAAACACACACACTGTGACCGCGCTAACGAACTTGAAGAGACCAGAACAGTGCCCTTGAGTTGAACTTGCAAAGGAGTGTGAATTGTCACCCAGAGGCGAGGGGGCAAACACAACACAAAACACAACACAATCAAACCGCTCGGCTGGTGCGAGCCAGCCAGTCCGCCGGCCGGCCGGCTGGGTTGGCAGGAAAGCTCAGAGCGGGGACAATTAAAAGAACTTCATACTCAGACACGGAAACCGACCAACACAGCAATGTTTGCCTTACACTCTATCAGGTCAGTTTTAATACAACAAAGTGTCTGAACAAAGCAAAATCATCCTGCGTTGTGGACTAACCGGCTGTACACTGGCCTCCTATGCATTTGCATAGGAGGCCAGTGTACAGCCGGTTAGTTGCAGCTATACAACTTCCGAAGTTTTGAGTGTGTGTATTATAGCAGAACTCACAACCTGAGATGACATAGAATTATTGACTGTGCTTCATATATGATGCGATATTGCAACACAACAATTTCAAGAAAAAGCCTTTATGAAGCACTAGAGGAAACAGATCTCTTTGATTAGCAAAAGTATACAATCTACACATGATCAAATCTGATTAAAAAGAAAATGTACAATCCCTTTTCAATCTGCCTTTATATCCCAACAAAGTGATATCTGCGGAAATTGCCATATTAGGAGTCAAATCAGTGAATGAATAATTAAACCGCACCAACAAACCCAACTAAGTTTCTAGTTTCAGGTTTAACTTTCAATTTTAAGGCATGACAGTCTTCTCATGTACCTTCAAAAAAGACTTGAACATAATCCCAGAAAAAATTATTTTGACACAAGTTAAAGAGATTGTTTACTTTTTTTGTCTTTCTCATCAAATACATGAGGATACTTTCCCCCTCCTGCGCAGTGTAATCCCAACAAGCCCTGGCTGGCCTCGATGGCCCTGCAGTACAGTGTCGGACCACATAGATGCAGAGGAAAGAGCTGCTGTTCTCGAATGCTCCGAGGGAACAATCAGTTTTGCCATTCATTAACCTATAGAGATTCCCATAAAAATGTCACAATAAAATTGTTAAATGTGATGTAAAAGCTGTACAGCACTGAAACATGTGAGCATTAACACTGTGGTTTGATTTTCAGAAGATTTTTTTCTGAGGAATGATTTCGTCTTTCCTCAACAGAAACTCATAAATAAAACTGTATACTGGCTGTGTCCAGTTTATAACTGCAACATCTGTTTGTAAAGCATCAATGAAAAAGCCATTGCTACAATTCTCCATCCTCTAAATTTGGCATGCAGCCAGCAGGTTTACACATCCGCGTCCCAAGGCATGGACAGAACAGGTCACTTTACTGCAGCAAAAACACTCAAAGCTACCAACTCCTTTAGTCCTTCTGAGGCTAAGCCACTTGCTCTCATCATATCTTTTTTATTTTTTCCTTCTTGTTTTCTTCTCAGAAAAATGTTGGCAACAGAAGAATAATTTCACTTTTTTTTTTCATCCCACATCTATGAAGACACAAACCAAAATTGGTAAAGAGGGAAAGTTGTTGGAAGCTGTGTGATTTCAGAGACATTACGGTGCTTTATAGCTTGAGGTTACTTTCAAATAATTAAAAAACAAAACAAAAAACAACTTACCTTTAATCCTTATTTCATCGATAGCTCTGGCTGCCACACTGTCCACCAAATAGAAGAGGAGAACACAGAACAAGCAGACCCTTGCCATCCTCTAGGTATGAAGTGTGTCTCTAATGGTAAAAAGGCAAACACAGTAGTTGGAAGCCTGGAGGCATTGGCAGCTTCAGGAGCCCACAGAGTGTCTAAATTTGGATCCTGCAATGACAAAGAAACAGAAAGCAGACGGTTATCTGTCCATCAGCCGACTGATTCTTTCAGGAGATCTAATATTGGAGCTGAAAAAGACATTTCTGTCTACTTTCAAACTAGATGTAAAAAAAATTGTTCAACTTAACTGATACAGAGAAAGCTTGTTTTGGCTGTGAGCAGCTGTATTTTTCGCCAGATGCCCTGTTGACTACCTCACTCATCTGCCTTACATTGTCCAGGCTCTCCTGCGTCATGAATAAGGAGCAGGGCAGCTACTGCCTGTTATTTATCAATGGATGGCGCTTAGTCTGTCCTGGGATAATGGGTCCTTACTAGGAAAACACTTGAAACCTGCCAGGAAGCTACAGAATCTGAAGGAGCAGCAGGGAAGTTGGACTGGTGGTTGATGAGTCTTCAGGCCCAGAAGCAAAACAGTGAAACAGGTGTTTGGGGTGAAACCATGACCTCTGTCGGATTCATATTTCAGTCAAAATCAAACTTGACAACACATGATCAATGTGAATTAAAAACTGTAATTTATCCTAAGGTAATTACTTTTTTAGAATACCAGTTCAGAACAATTTAAAGGTCAAATGTCTTAAAATGTTTTCTTTCGCGATATAGTAATGTTTTTGACATATCTGCAAGAAAATGACTAGCTGTTTGTAAAACATTGATCATGTATCTATTATTGATTAAAATATACGCTTCAGCTTTAGTATAAATGTGTTTAAACCTATTAAACAGTTGAAACAAGCTTCAATGGTTCATGCAGTGGAGTTTGTATAATCATGTTCATTTCCACAATAAAACTTTGCCTAAAACAGACTGAATGTTTGAATAAGAAAGTACTTTTGAAAGAATCATGGATTAAGTTAAATCAAAACGCGCGCTCGGACACTACGTGCAAGGAGCAGGCTACTTTCTGTAGTCTTGTAAGAGAGCTAAAGGAATAATACAGTGATTTTTTTCCCCCTGTTGCCTGCTGCGCCAACTGAGCACAGGCGCCAGACCCCGGTGTGTGCGCACACAAGTAAGAAGTGCACACAAGACGAGCGCACACGCGCGCTCGCATACCATTTAAAGACCGAGTCTGCTGAATGAAACGTATTCTTTCTCAATTAAGGACTGGAAAACTTTTTTTCTCCCGCTGCTAATTCCGCTGACACGTTGCCCTGCTGCTGCGTTCAGTCGGAGCCAGGACACATCCGCTGTATTCTGCTTCTTAGACCTAAAAACTGTGGGAAAGGCGGCACTGCATATTCCTGTAATCTAATTCACGCTTAATAAACCTGTCTTATTAGCCTCAAACTGCCCATGTAGGATCAAATGAATGGACCCCCCCCTCCAAGAAAAGGGGGATGCTATTTCTAGACGCACCTCATCGCACGTAGCACGTGCATGCACCCTCAGTCAAAACACAGTTTCTGATGACTAACATTTGAAACAGGCGCGGATCGATTAAATACAGAGGTTTTAATAACATTGTTTGTATAGGCTACAGTTTTAATTTAAATTAACAGCGTTGAACCCACTTATCCGCTACAACACAGGGGACATTTAAGTAGGGAAACATGAATACATATTTCCTAAACTATGACTGACACTTGGAATGTTTTCCTATTAGGCTAATATATCATCTGTAGTTTTCGTTTAAAAAAAGAACAATATATAGATATTTTAAGTTCCAACCCAGCAATGAGCGACACGGCCTGACCCTGACAAACAGCTCATGTGAAAGGTTCAATGTCTGTCAAGTGACTTGTTTGGCCCTGTGCATTGCAAAACACCCCAGTTTGTGTCCTAAATTGACAAACACGGTCGAATTCTCTACTTCATCCTGAAAATAAGTGAACAATTTAAATAACGCGAGGGTTCATGTGTGAAAAAGAATGACAAATAAAATCCAGGTTTTCAAACACAGATGAATGAATGTATGAAATACATGTGTGTCTTCTTATGATGCTTTTTCCCTGTGTTTGTCATCGCTAAACTACCGTGTCAGCATGAAATGAATGAAACCACAGTTCCATTAGAATCTTTCGCTGTCACAGTATGTTTTCACCCACCTTTCCTCCCGGTTTGTCCTCGCGGATATGACTGGAACCAGAGGCAATATCACTCCTTGTCCGGGTTGACACAAGGGATTAGTGAAATCCTCATTTGGAATCTCTGCTATCCTTTCCCAAACAGCAGTTTATGAACAGTTCTCGTGGCTTTTGTGTATCCGACAGAAGTCAAAGTCGAAGTGATAAATCCATCCAAAAAAAAAAAAAATAGATTAGCGATTTGAGCGGCAGCTGCCTGGAGCTCCTGGTGAACGAGGGAAAATGCTGTGATTCCAGGGGTAAAGTCCACAGCAGCCAGCAGCTCAGAAATCCGCGGAGTATTGAAACCAAACAGGTAGAAAAACGGTTTATGTCACAGGACAACGGGGACTCCTATACAAAAATCTGCTCTCACTCGTTCTAAAAAATATTAAAAAGGATCCCATATGTTGAGACTGATACAGACTGGTGAGAAAGGAACGTACCCCTTGATTCAGAGTCCCTCCTTGGTTCTGCTGTGGCACCCTGAACAACTTCTGCATGCGTCTTTACGCAGCGCTTTTGCAGATTCGCCTCTTCTGAATAAGTTTCTCCCGCTTTAACCTTAGCCCTGCGTATGAAACCCAGGCCTCACTCAGGTCAGTCCGTTTCCGTTCAGCGCAGAAAGACGAGCGAGCGACTGCGTCCTCAGCAAACTAGACCTGATATTGCACTACGCTGTTCCCTGGACGGCAGTCACAACAACAATGGTCTACGAGCGGACGGGGGAGTAGGACAGGAGGAGGAGAGTGGAAGGGGTGGGGGTGGTGTGATGTGTGTGTGTGTGTGTGGGTGGGTGGAGGGGGGGGGGGTCCACACCATCCAACACATAGCCTATACAAAAAAAAAACACCCCCATCCCTCCACAGAGCTGGCCACAGAACCCTCTGCCCCTCCTCTCTCATGCGTGCAGAAGCAATCTGCAGTTGTCCAGCAAATTTCCGGGCAATCACATCAAACTTGAAAAAAAACTACAAGAAACTTTCATCTCCCACAGAAATTGTAAATCAACATAAATTATTACATGGAATCAAAGTTTTTTTTTTTCTAATCGCATAATTTATAGCGAGTTAATTGCTCTTCCGAGGACGCAGTCAATTAAGTCGCCTTTGTGAGGGAATTGCCGGCGCGCGAATTGCCTCCACGTTTTAATTGCATCAGTGTAAGAACAAGACTGATTAATCCTATTAGCTCAGGCACAGCACCAAGATAAATCCTACTTTTATCACTTAAAGACGTTGAGCCCAAATGGCTCTCCTCATATAAGAGACCTGCTTAAGTTTAGTCGCCCGTTTGAGACTGGATCAAAAGAAATTCAGGTTTTAAAAGTAAAAATACATGGCGGCAAGAATACAAGTTTCAGTAAACAAAACAAAAAATATTTTCAACGTGGATTAAGAAAAAAAAGGCATAATGACAGGGGACTCCATGAATACTTAAAGCTGAATCCGTCCCTCATAGGGCTAAGTGTTTGAAACCTGTTCAAACCCAAAATATAAAGTTTGTACTGACTAACACATAATGTTTTTATGTCCAAAATCAGTTTCCTGATAGTTTTAAACATGAAAAAATGTTGTTGTTTTTTCAAATCCCAACGTAGACTGTTAATGCAATCTTTCTGTGTTTTTCTCACACAGACAAACAAAATCCCACAATATTGTTGTTAATCTTAAATACAAACAAAGTTTATACAGGATTCCGATAGTTCATGTGGTGTCCTGTGATTGATTAACTCAAATCTTGATCTGTTAGGGATATCTAGTACAAACTAGAATACTGGTCAGCATGCAACCTGTGGTTTAACCTCATCCAATACTTTTGCTTTTCAAATGAGTTGGAATTTGGATGTAAACTGGGAAATGGAAGCAACATTTCATGGAAAGCTCGAAACCACAGGTATGTGACTTCCTTTGCAGTTGACATGTTGGTCCTCGTGGTTTTGGGACCGACATGTCCATAAATGAAGGTTACAAAAGTATTGAGAAGAGAAAAATTCTGGCCTACAATTTATGAACATGAGAGAGCAAAAGCTGTTCCGATAAGAATAAATGCTGACCACAGTCTCACTACTCATTCAAAATTGCCTTTAGGATGATTGGTTTGCCCGTGCAGGGTTGTTTTTGTTGTGAACAGACAGGAAGTGCAAAGGAGAGAAAGGGCAATCACCAACCATAAAGTCCCCAGCTCATTTCCAACTGTGGTTACACGATACCTGCTTTCAGCAAGAAAGTCACCAAGATACACACAGAAAGGTAAAAATGAAAGCTGTGCCTGAAAGAAACTTCTGCTTTGGTTTAGAAAAAAAAGGAGTTCCTAATCCGACAACAGAGAAAAGGGCTGTGCACACTGTTGGGTTTTATTTGTGGGTCAAACCCCTAAAGCGGTCCAAGTGTAAGTGCTTTGAGCTAAAATTTACGTGCTGAAATAAATTCCAGATTTGACCTTTGACATCTCATAGTGCCACTCCAGGTCAGATGGAGCTTTACAGCGAAAGTCAAAGTACACAAATAAACGAGTCCAAGTGGAAGTCATAAAGCAGATAACAGCTCTGCTAATGCCAGTCGGCACTATGAATGCTGGGCCAACCTTGATTTGTATGCGTCATACCCGTGTGTATGTGTCTGTGAATTTGTGTCACTCATGTAACACATATCAGTTTACACCACCACATTGGGGTAGTCCCACATCATTATTTGTGGCACGAAAATACATTTTTTCAATAAGCAAATCATTACATCTTTGAATGATCGAATGATATTGATTTAAAGTCATGGTCATGTGCTTTATTTTGAGATATAAACATAAGAAAATTAGCAGGAAGAAAATCCCTATAGTTCACCAGCATTTTGTGTATTTGTGGGATTCTTACTGCATTTGTAACTAGATGTCACGGGTAAGCCAAATTCATGTTAATTGCCAAAGTTTGGTATGACATGGGATCAGTCGAAAATGTATGTTTTCGTGTGTATGTTTAGAGTGAGATTATGAGTTACCTGTGTTTTTGGAGAGGGGCAGCAGTGTTAATGTTATTACAGCCAGTTGTTGTGCTAATGAGACACAGGTGGGATTGTGATGCTTCACACACATACCACACACGATTCCTGTAATTAGGGCTTTTGACACACCCCTAACTTTTGTTTGTTTATTATAAGGAGATATGCCAAAAACTAACAGTTTAATAATTTGACTGGGCTGCTTTGCTTTTGCATTGTTTAATCACAGTTATCAATATCCTAAACAATTGTGCAAAAATAATCCATGTTCTATTTACAGGTACTGACACTTACCTTAAATCAGATCATATCATAAAATCGTAAAAATGCAGGTCTTCTCACTAAGTAGGACACTTACTCTGTCCTAGTGATATCATCCATCCTCTTGTGGTAATACAGAATCATTAAGTGTAAACTTAAATCTAATTTGTGACTTTCCAATGAAACATTCAAGAGTTTTTTCCATTTTAGTTGTTTGAACCTGAAAGACAGGGTCACGGTGTGTTTAAAAGTCTCCCTGATAGCCTGTGTCTCCCTCTCCATCCCATTTCTCCTGCAATTACATTTGGCATTCAGTAAACAATTAGGATTCATTAAAGAATTAAAATTACTCCAATATGTTCTAAATGTTTTTTTAAATGTCACTCACAACTGGTGAGTTGTTCCCGTCCTTCGACTGAGACCAGAGAGACACTGTGGGTTCGCTCTCCTGTGCCACAGGTTTTACCATAACAGCTGTATTAGATGTTTTTATTGCTGCCAAAGACCCCTCTGTGTCTAAACTCTGTGTAACTAGTGCACGATTCTGTTTTTACTTATGGTGAATTATATATACTGAATTCTTTGTTGAATGTTCTTGTTGAATGTAGTTTGACCTATTTATTAGCTTAAGTTAGATTGACTTGTTTTTTCATTATCAGATTGATTTATTGGCTTCCCAATTGCACAATCCCTGGTTACATACAGGGGCTCATCCCATGCATGCTTGTTATTGCTACAATGGTCTTGCAAACCACGACTGGAGAGGAGCTGTGGGGGAATGCTCATTTTTCGTGATTTCTTGAGAACCCTGGACATGTTGTCAAAGTTCAGTCCGTCACAAAACAAAATACAAAAACAAAGAACCAGGAGATATCTTGTGCGTATTCTGGTTTTGTTTCAGTCCCAATGTTCGATTTTTCAATCAGGATAATCCTAGAAAATAACACAATACTAAGAAATCAACAAAGCGAAAGGTCTTTCAACTTTTCTTTTTTCCTGTTGCTTTTAAAGTTAAAAGGGTAATCTATCTTTTTATAGTCTTTAGACTCCCAATACCCCCTCAACCAGGACCAGAGCCAGCCTCCCTCTCACCTCTTTATCTGATGACATCAGTGATACAGCGAATCCCTCCCGGTGCCCTCAGGTCCAGATAGCACAGATATCCTGCTGCATACTGATGTTAATGGGGAATACCAAGGCTGTTTGGTGCCTGACAGCTGATAACAGATTGGGGAGGAGGAGGGGCCATGTTGGGGTGAATGGTAATGATTTGGGTGAGGTGAGGTTCTCTATTCATGTGTGTGTGTATACGGAGGGAAAGTGAGATGAGATGAAGGTCAGCAAGAATGTGTGAGGTGTGGTCGTTCGCTCATTAGTCTGTCTCCCAGCAGGGACTCATCACAGACACATCAGATCCCTTTAACATTCAGATTTCCACCTTTTTAGATTAGACGTATCTCCAAAATGATCATGTCAACAAGAGTTTATTTTTGCTTTTTTGCTACGAATTGGCTCTTGATCCAAACTAAATCCTGAGACTCCTACTCTTTCCTGGATTCTGCCTCTTGGAAGGTCGTATTTTTGTCATTGAGGCTGAAAAAAGTTATATAGCTCTCACAGCATGTGTTAACTTGATTTAATGACTATAGAAGTAATTGGATGTCCTTCTGTACTCCATATGGATGCATAATGATTTTATTATGATGTCCTCGGAGAGCTCTAAAGTATCAGAAAAGTATGTCCATTTATGCAGAAACACAAGATTTTCAACCACAAGGAGATTTTTTAAAAACTTATGTGAGAAAAAGTTGAATTAATCGAGAATTCTTGGCTTGAGGCTTGAGTTCAAGTCAGTGTCGCATCCAGACCTTCAGCTCCTACGCTGGTTGAGCGCTGGAGCTCCCATTGTTAGATGTTTACGTTAATCATTACCTGCGATGTTCGCAACACAATGGGGCAAACTGAGAGTACGGGCTTTGTGATGTAGGGGAGCGCTGCTGCCAAAACACAGAGCTGAAAGAAAGACATAGCAGAGATGGGGGGGGTGTTGGGCTGTGGGGGGGGGGGAGCACTCCACTGCAAGGGAGCTGCTTTTTAAACGCGCTATGTAACACAGTAGCTCTGACAGTTCAAACAAATGCTGTGCAGCCAAACATTGTTTACACTAGTTTGTGGAGATCCCACGCTTAAGAACTTAAGAAAAACTCAACTACCCTATACCCAAGAAAGTTTTGAACATTGAGTGTGTATTAAAACCACAAATTTACTATTACGTTTTTTAATTAAGCAAAAGATTTTCTTATCAAAATCAGATTAGTGAGTAAAAAATATACAAGCCCTATCTAAATGAAAAAAAAAACACATGAGAACTAAGTTAGAGATCTATTGAAGAGGACAGATGACCAGAAGAGTGACAGGTAAACAATGGAAGTCCAGGTTAACTGTGTTAAC